GGCTGAGGCAAGAGAATCACTTGAGCCCAAGAGTTTGAGGTTGCTATGAGTTGTACAGCACTCTACAGAGGGCGACAAAGTGAGACGAAAGAAAGGAAGGAAAGAGGAAAGGAAGGAAGGAAGGCAAGGAAGGAAGGAAAGGAAGGAAAGAAAGAAAGAAAAAAATTAGGTAATCAGCGCGCATTTTTTTCTATGGGATAGCGCTGATCCGTGGAAGCAGTGTCTTCCAGGTAGCGGGCCACGGTGGTCAAGGATGAGCAGACGTGGGGGTGGACATAAGATTCTGGATGTATTATGCAGTCATGAGCCGTGCCAGTGAATCTGCACCGCGCCCGCTGAATGGACGGGAAAATATTGCCCCAGGAGCTGAAGAGCATGGCAGCGCCCGGACTCGAACCTCACCTTGGTCTGTCCCCGAAATCGAACTCCCATTTTCAGTATCGTCCGTACTTGAAACTTCCCAGTGACCCTCGAGTGGACATGAGCAGCATTCGAACCAGGCCCGACTCCCGAGGTTCCGGCCCAAGCGCGCCTCTTTACTGCCGTTTTCCCTCCCCTCAAGAACGAGTCAAACCGTTCACAACGTTCACAACGGACCTCCTGGCCGCTGAGCCTCAAGAGACAGGAACGCGACTCACCTGCTGACCCACAACGAGGCCGCAAACCCCTGCGCTTTTCTCCACCTACTTGATTCACTTGCCTCCTGACATCCTCTTCTCTCGCGCGAATGTCCAGCCGCGCCTTCCTCTGCTCCCGCCCCCTAATGCCAATCTAGCCAATCATCTCTCAGATAATTAATTTTATCCCTGCCCCACTCCCACCTGCCAATCACTACGGGAGCAAGCACCGCCCTTCCCGCCCTCTTCAGCGAGCACGGCGCGCCACCGCTCGGCGGTTGGCGGCTCTGCCTACTGTGGGAAACGTCACCCGGAAGGGCGGGGCGAGAGGCGAGCCTTGTCAGTGCAGGAACCCTCAGGATTGGCCAAAAGGAGTCCCGCGCTCTGGCCCCGCCCACTACCCCGCCTTTCACATCCGAGTCGGAAACGCTGAGGATTGGTTCCCCGCGGACCCATTAAGAAGCCTGAAGATGGTCCCGCCTCCCTCGCACGCCTCAGAGAGGGAGCTCGGCGAATTGGTCCCGGGAGTCTGGGCGCGCGCCGGCCGGCGCTGTAGGATTGGCTGAGGTGTGCTCGCGCCGACGGAGAGAGCTTTGTGTGATTGGGCAGAGGGTGGGCGCTATTTGAAGGCGGCGCGCGGACGAGATGCGCACTTCAGTCCGCGGAGACAGGAGGTTGGAGCGGTTCGGGCTAACGCTGGACTGCTGACTACCCCATCCCACCGTCCTCAGCCCCCTTCCTTCACCACCGGACCCAGACGCGGACGCGGGCTCTGCTACGCCAGAGCTGCGGCCCGACGAGGCAATGGCCAAGGTGTCGGTGCTGAACGTTGCGGTACTGGAGAACCCGAGCCCGTTCCATAGCCCCTTCCGGTTCGAGATCAGCTTCGAGTGCAGTGAAGCCCTTGCGGACGGTGAGGCTGGGCCTGTGCGGAGATCCCCACCCCTGGGCCGACTTTGGCCTCCCCCTGGAGAACCGCTCTCACGGCCAATTTGATCTCATAAGGCCCCCTCGTCCTCACCCCTCCGCCCACCCGGATCTCCCCGTGAACCGCCCCCCACCCCCGCCAGCTCAGACCTCCTCGTGACCTCCTCCTCCACTGTGTACGCCCGTTGTAGACTACCCCAAGCATGGTAACTCCCCTTTCTGCCATGGAGAGTTCATCTGGTTTTTTTTGTGGAGCTCCTCCTAGACACCCGTTTTCTATGGAGAGACCTTCTCAGCCGCCATTCGCTGCGGAGGCACCCAGCCACCTTGTTTTACTTGTGGCTAGACCCGTATTTCAGCCACCCCCCCATTTTTTCCCTTGGAGACTGCCCACCCATCCTCTCCCTTGTAGTGAGACACTCCTACCTCCCTTTTTCCTACAGACCCCAGTTCCCTCTTTCCCCCAATGGAAACCCCAGCCCTCTTCCATTTTCCCTGTGGAGACCTATTCCCCCAAGTTCCATCTCTTTTTCCCCCATAAAGACCTCTCCCCTGTAGCTAGACTGCTATCACTCCCATCTTCTCATTTGTCTCCAACAGTCCCTTCCTCAACCTGCTAATATTTAAACAGCCCCACCTCCATTGACTGCTGCTTATTTTCTACCCCAGTGCACACACCCTAGAACCTGACTTCTCCCCTTTTCCTCCAACCCACCTTATGCTTGCACTTTCCCTGGGAAATCATGGCCTGGCTTCTAGCTCTAGTCTTCGAGAGTAACTTGGTCTTAGTTTCTGTTCCTCCGTCCTCCTTGTAGGCTTGGATGAACACACTCAGATCTGAGAGGTGGCATAGCCAGGCAGGCGTTAGCCAGTTTCCAGCTGACTTACTGCAGCAGTTCTTCCATCGCTTTTGATGCTCCAACCTAGTGTGGACAGGGCTGAGCTGTAATAAGATCCAGCTTTGAACAATCAGCTAGGCGGTCACAACCTTTTGTACATTTTTTTCCAAGGTGCTTCTACAGATGTATTTATCCATCTGTGTGATTTAAAAGTGAACATGGCTCTCATCTCACAGATGAGAAAATGGGAGCCACAAAGTGCAAAAGACCTTTCAAGCAAAGATCTGTGCAAACCTAAAATCTGAGGGCGCCCAGGGAGCCTTGGCACCACTAAAAGGCAAGCTCTGCTTTCAGGAGGAAGTATTCCATTAGACCATTTTTCTACTGAGTGGTTAAACAAGAAGAGGTGGCAGCTAAGGAGGTAGAGATCTGGGAGCCTGTGAGGCAGGGGTGTGCTAGTTAGTGCCAGTCAGTGGCAGGTGGGTGATTTGCCTGCAAAACTGGCCACTTGGATTAACATGGGGCTGATGCAGTGAGATGTGTATGGGTTTCTGGTGGGCGAATAGGTCATTGTCTCCCTGGTTTCTTTCACTCTTCCTCAAATTAAGGAGTCTACTTGTGGCTAGCTATAGGATACACAGAGTTAAATCCTTTCTGGAATTAGGCAGGGTGTAAATAAATAAAGTGCAGAATGATACTGTGGAATAAGATTTTTTTTTTTTTTAGATAGAGCCTCAAGCTATCCCCCTGGGTAGAGTGCCGTGGCATTTCAGCTCACAGCAACCTCCAACTCCTGGGCTCAAGCGAGTCTCCTGCCTCCGCCTCCCAAGTAGCTGGGACCACAG